GGCCCGCGTCCGCGCTCCAGGCCCTGCGACGGGCAGCAGCATCCGCGGCCCGCGAAACGACGCGGTAGAACGAGGGGCGAGGGGGGCGCCGCGCCGGGGTTGGACGGCGCGGCCCACAGGCGGCAAGGGCGTACGGTCTGCAGCCGCGCCGGCTCGCAGCCCGCGGCAGGCCCTGGGTCAGCGTCCGGACCGCAGCGCCGCCCGCTTCGGTGGCGTGGGCCCGGGCCCTCACGTACCTGGTTGAACTCTTCGCCCACATCCGCGTAAATGTCTATGTGGTCCACACCGTCCGCCATCTTCTCTCGGCCGAGGCCGCCGCCGCCTCCTGCAGGTCTGCCCGCCGCGGCAGCAGCAGCGGATCTAGCGGCGGGGGCGGGGCGCGCTGCGTCACTTCCGAGGCCCGAGGGACGAGGCGGGGGCGGCCGGGGGCGGCTGGGGGCGGCGAGCGCGTCTGCAGCCCGGCCGCTCGGCGGGCGCGGAGAAAAAGCTTGCGTCTCTGCTGGCAGAGGCGGTTTCTTTTGTGTGTCTAGGTTAGGCTTGGGGCTTGGGGGGACGTCCCAGCTGTTTCCAGAGACTGTGTTTTCACGTTGTCTCTGGCACACTCAAACGTTTTGTAATATTTTCATTCTCAGTTTTGCTTACAATTCTCAAAGCCAAGGCTTCTAGAGAGATGGAAGTTTTATATCCATGATTAAATACAAGTGTAACCCAGCATTCTGTGAGCGCCTTGAGGGCGAAAACAACGTTCTTATCCCTGCATCCTCAGAGACCCGCAGTTTCATTTGCCTAGTAAACGCTGGATTCCCGTTGATTGTTGTCTTGAGTAATTTGCAAGCTACTTAGGTTATTTGCATGCTATTTATGTTTGCATCTCTATCCCCTGTCACCGTCTCCTTTCATCTCCTCTTTCCCCGTTCGTTGCCCTTTGTTTTTTCCCCCCGCTTGGATCGCAGTTGGTTTTTCTCTGAATAGTTCAAACGCCTCTAACTTGAATGCAGTCATCCTAGAGCCCACCCAACAAGGTAGAGGCATCTTGGGGCAAAGGGCTTCTCAGAACCATAGAATGTCTGAACGAGAAGGGAACTGGAAAAGGTGTCATTAGGTCCAAACATCTGTTTTTCAAATGAGGGAACGGAGGCCAGATAGAAGTAAGTGATTTAACCGGGATCACGTGATCAATACAGACCGCTTTTGCCACCAGGATTTTATTCAAAGATGTCTCTCCAGTTAGAAACCTTACTCCATTCTTTATTTCTTTTTCACCCATTTAAAAACCCACCAAATTAGAGTGTGTTTGCTAAGATACAGAAATCTTTTGCACAGTGATAAGCCAAAGAATATCCACCTGTACTTGGTATGTTGGAAGAAGCTTAAGTTGGAGTCTTAGAGACCAATGTGGTGATGTGGATAACAATTACTAGTCAGTTTACCAGTAAGATGACCTCAGTCGAGTTACCTAACCTCTCTCTCACGTTCAATTTCAGAATCTTCAGACTTGAGGTAGTAATATTTACCTCACCAAGGTTGAAGGTTGATGGTAGTTTAAATGAGGTAATATGCAAAATGCCCTATCCTCTTCTACTTCTTGGAAATACTGATTTTCTTTTTTCCATGGGGCTTTATAGAAGACAAGAGCCATTCATGATTTGGGTAGGCACCATAGGCCCATCATAGATGTCCATGTCCCAATTCCCGGAACCTGTGACTTTATTAACCTTGGAAAAGGAGCTTGACTTATCCTTGATTTCTTGGTAGGTCCAAAGTAATCACAAGTGTTCTTATAAGTGAAAGAGGAGGCAGGAGAAGGGAGATTTGATGATAGGAGCAGTGTATGTTCTTTTAGTACACTTAAAAATCATTCCAGGGTTCTGACTTCTACCATTACCTACGAAAAAGCAGCTGTCAGTGTGACTGTTTCTTTGAAGGTCATTGGGGTTCCCCCCCACCCCGGCCGCTTTTAAGATTTTTTTTTCTCTTATACTTTGGTTTTCTGCTCTTTTACTATGTATGTTTGGAAGTGTATTTCTTTTTATTTATGATGCTTGGGATTCACTGAGCTTCTTGAATACATTGATACCTTTCACGAGTTCTGGAAAATTCTCAGCCTTTACCTCTTCAAATATTGCTTCTGCCCCACTCTTTCTTCTCTCCCTCTATAACTCCAATAAATGTATGTTAAATCATTACTATCTACTATTTCTCTTACCTTCTCCTTTTTTATCTCTTCCTGCTTCATTTTGAGTAGCCTTTTTTCTGATATATTTTCTAGATGACTAATTCTCAAATAGAAATAAAAATAAATAAATAAAAAATAATGGGGATGCCTGGCTGGCTCAGTCGGTAGAGCATGCAACTCTTGATCTTGGGGTTAGGAGTTTAAGCCCCACATGGGGTATAGAGCTTATGTTAAAAAAAAAAAATAGATTACTAATTCTCCCATGATGTCAAACTTATCTATTTAGCTATTAATTTTGGTTTTGGAGTGGTTTGTTTTTGGTAATTTTAAGACTTAAAATTTCTATTTGATTCTTTTTAAAATCTGTTATGTTCATTTTTATAGCATTCTATTCTTTGCCCAAACAGTAATTCGTGGCTTTCATCTCTTTGAGTGTAGTAGTCATCATTGGTATACAATCTGGGTCTCTGCTAATTCCAGTATCTGGAGTCCCATTGAGTGTATTGTTGGTTCTTTGTTTTAGTTATTTGTTGTGGTTTTGTTTTGTTTTGTTTTGTTTTTTGAAAGAGAGAGGCGGGGCGGGCAGAGGGGAGGGAGAGAGAATCTTAAGCAGACTCTACGCCCAGCCCAGCACGGCTCTATCTCACAACCCAGAGATCAGGACCTGAGCTGAAATCAACAGTTGGACGATTAACCGACTGAGCCATAGAGGCACACCTATTCCTTGTGTTCCTTATGCTGTTTCTCACTCATGTTGTCTTTTTTTTTTTTTTACTCTTAAGGCATTTATTTATTAAAACATTCTCTGCCAAGATTTCACATTAGCTTAAAATTCAAATCAGTCTTTACATTTCCCTACTGAGGTTTCCACCTCAGTGTATCACATAAAAACACCTTCTCCAGCAATCAGTGTTACCAGCGTCCACACGGTGAGCCCCATGGTCAGCCTCTTTGTTCCCTAGGTGACCCAACTAGATGTTAATACTGCTCTGCTACAGGGTAAAAGCTCCTAACTCAAACTCATTGGAAAAGGGGTGAAATTTCTGCAAAGTGCACTTTAAGAAGAGGTATTGTTTGCTCATGAAAAGAAACCAGTGAGTCCTCTAAGAATAATAAAAGGGGTTATTTTACAGTTAAGCACATGATTTGGAGTGAAGAATTCGGATGTTGCTCTGCTGGTCCAGGCCGTTAATACTCTTCTTGTTCCTCCTGTGGGCCCCCTTCATCAGGTATCACAAAGCCTTCATCTGTGGCATACAGAATGTCCACGATCCTCTGCAATACCGGGTCGTTTTCCCCCTCATTCTCCTGGCAAATCAATTTAATGTTCCTTAGCTTTCCAAAGTAGAAATCTCTTTCTTTCTCCAAGTCTTCGACGGTAAGTTTCAATGCGTTGACCTGCTGCATCAATTCAGCTGCTTCGTCATCCCTGTTGCCCACACCAGGATTCTTTCGCACCACACCCGGGCCAGCCTTAGGGGTTGCAGTAGTTCTGTGTGTTGCAATGGGCCTCTGTGGAGCTGCACTGCTAGAGCTGAGAGGTTTCTTCAGTTTGTTCAGAGCTGGAGCAACAAGGGAGGGAGCCACTGCAGTTTCTTGACCTTGTCTGGCAGCTACGGGGTCACAGTCTTTTCCATCATAGTTTGCATCAAAAAACTTCTTAAACCACTGAACAAATTTAAAATTGTCCTGAATCTTTCCTTTTACTAATTTGTCCACAGGAATTATTTTGTCAACACCCATTCTCTTAAAGCCTGCTTGTAGTATTTTGAAGTTCTGGATGTACTCATGTTTTAGCTTAGCCTGGAATTTCACTTTCTTCAAGGCAATGGAGCCAGGGAACAGCATGTCCATAAACTGACAGTAGGCAGCCCCTGAGCACAACTGTTCGATCTTTGTCAGATTCAGCTGCAGAGACTCATTGATCCAGGCCAGCATGTCATGTCGACTTAGGTTATCACTGGTGACTGATGTTGAATATACGTTCACTGCTATCTTCAGCTCTTGGCAGGACCGCGTCCACAGCCTGTGCCCGGCTTCGGTTCCGTCTTCGTCTCGTTCAACCCGCCCCCTCACTCATGTTGTCTTATTACCTGACTATCTTTGTGTGCTGGACATCATAATTGTAATACTTGAAGAAATAATGTGAGTCCTAGGATAATTTTTTTTTCCATAGGAGGATTTTCATTATTTTCTGCAAGGCATCTCCGGACACTAATAAACAAGATCACCCTCATCCAGGTGACCTCTCAGCCAACTCTTTTGAATCTGAAATGCAAAAGCACTCTGAGTGTATAGGCCTAGCCTTTCTACATCTTGGCCAGGTAATTCCTCACTCCCTGGCGGGCTTTTTGATGATTTTAAAATGTTAACAGCGGCGCCTGGGTGGCCCAGTTGGTTAAGCGTCTGACTCTTGATTTCAGCTCAGGTCTCGATCTCAGGGTCATGAGATTGAGCCCTGTGTTGGGCTGGGCGGGGAGCCTACTTAAGATTCTTTCTCACCCTCTGCCCCTCCCACCCCTGCGCTGGTTCTCTCCCTCTCTCTCTTCCCCCCCCCAAAAAAAATAATAAAAAAATAAAATGTTGTTACAGGGTATCTGCTTACTTGGCAACGTTCAAGAAATGAAATATTATTGTAGATTACAAAAGAAAATGCATAATAATAAAAACAACAAGCAAAAACTCTATACTTATTCAGTACTTCTATATACCACCCTCTTTGTTAGACATCTTATGGTTATTAATGTACATAGATGAAAGATTGGAGATTCGGATTTTTATCCTGACTTGACAACTGACCAGCTAGGTAACCTTAGACAAGTCCTTTAGCTCAAGTCCTCCATGAAGGTCCCTCTCAGTTTTGAAATCCTGTTATTCAAATCTACACAGAATTCAAAGTCCAGAGTGCCTTGAGAGCAATTTGACAATGGTATTACCAGAAATGTAGTGGCTTGAAACAACACCAATTCATTATCTTATAGTTCGAGAGATCAGAAATCCAGAATGGATCTCACTGGGCCAAAATCAAGGGGGTGGCAGGTCTGCATTCCTTCTGCAAGCTCTAGAGGTGAATACATTTGCTTGCCTTTTCCATCTCCTAGAGGCTGCCCACATTCTTTGTCTGCGACCCCCTCCTTCCCACAATGACGTCACTCCAACAATATAAACAATATAAAATCAAAATATTCAAGAAGAGTAACAAAGAGGTTAGAAGGAGGTAAATAATGTTCTAAGGGTCTCTGTATATGTCCTTCTTCTCTATATAGAACTTTCTCTCCTTTTCCATGCACATGTCTATGCAACAATAGCAACCTCAGCTCCTGCGTTCAAACAAGCGCCGTTCAGGAAAATGGTGATCTTGTCTTAGTTTCAATCACAAAATCTAAAGAGAGCAACTGATAGCTCAATTTTTACAGGAGTCTACTTTTAGTCCAATCAAGTTTAAGGAGAAGGAGTCACAGAGTAAAAACACAGCTTACAAAATCTACCCTGTGAGTTAGGAAAGGGTAGAAAACTGTCGGTGGAAGACGGTTGCTCTGAGCCAAGCAGATACCCCAAAGCTTGTCTAACGCATCCCCCCTCTTAGAGGACAGCACATAGACAAAGCCCTGATGGTTGGAGATGGCAAATCCAAATCCATAAATATTTAACACATATTATCATTCTGACTTACTTCAAGTCAGTCCATGCCATAATCTCCATAGGAATATGATTTTGGTCCTAATACTGTAGGTTATAGTTTAGGTCTATGCTCCCCAAACTTTTATTTTTAAAAAATTTTTTAAAGATTTCTTTTTTTTTTTTTAAAGATTTTATTTATTTGACAGAGAGAGACACAGCGAGAGAGGGAACACAAGCAGGGGGAGTGGGAGAGGGAGAAGCAGGCTTCCCGCCGAGCAGGGAGCCCGATGCGGGGCTCGATCCCAGGACCCCGGGATCATGACCCAAGCCGAAGGCAGACGCTTAACAACTGAGCCACCCAGGCGCCCCTAAAGATTTCTTTATTTATTACTTATTTGAGAGAGAGAGCACGAGTGGGAGAGGCAGAGGGAGAGGGAGAGAGAATCTCAAGCAGACTCTGAGCTGAGCACAGAGCCAGACATGGGGCTTGATCCCATAACCCTGAGATCACCACCTGAGCTGAAACCAAGAGTTGGACACCCAACCAACTGCACCACACAGGTGCCCCTGCTCCTCAAACTTTAAAAAATACCCCTAACATTTTAAACATGCAGCCATAATATACATAAATGTAAATATTATTTTATAAGGCATTTTATATTAACATTTTTATATCATGAACACCCATACAAATATATAATTTTGTTTTCTTTCTATTTTTTTATTTCTTGGAGCAAATATATAATTTTGAAGGATGAAATAAACAAGGTTTTTAAAAAGATTTTATTTATTTATTTTACAGAGAGATAGAGAGCACAAGCAGGGGGAGGGGCAGAGGGAAAAGGAGAGAGAATCTCAAGCAGACTCCATGCTGAGCATGGAGCCTGATGTGGAGCTCGATCTCACAACCCTGAAGTCATGACCTGAGCAGAAATCAAGAGTCAGTTGTTTAACTGACTGACCCACCCAGGCACTCCAATAAATAAGATTTTTTAAATGCATGGCTATTATAATGGCCTTATATTATCATTAGTGGATATAAATCCATATTTCAAATAGTCTTGAAATTTTTGGTCCTGCTCTTGTCAAATCTGATTACATCATCCTTGTTTTCATCTCATGATGGGACTGACAAGAATTCATACTAGAAGTAGGTGTTGGCTCTGCTTTCTTGTCTTTCACTTGTACTTTCATTATTAGTATTAGCAATGAACCATGGTTTCTTACGATTTTTTTTAAAACACCTGGGCATTTTGTGATGGTTAACTTAAAGTGAGAAAATAAAATCTCTAAGTCTATGTAACTGGGCTCTCATAAACTGCCATGTATCATAATACACAGCAAGTAAAGTGTATTAAGTGCCCATGTGAAGGAATCCCTTTAGAATCCTCTGTGTTGGGGAGAAAGTCCACCTCTTTCCTCAGGACTACCCCCAACAGGAACAATAATGTGGGAAGTGAAAAAAGTTAATGATTCAAAATCCCTCACTTCCATGGGACCCTTCCATAATTCATCTAAATTTCCACTCCACTTTCCTCTCTGTCATACATACTCCCCTTTGTGTTGGATAGGAGTTGGTGAGGCAGCAGCCATATTTCTGCATCTAAGTGGAAATTGAATAAAGGGTTACATTTAGTTTGGATTTAATGGAAAATATTTATGTATAAGTTATTGTTAACCATCCTGACATAGGAATGCTTTCCAGAAATATATTTACTGCCACTGTGCCAAGAGATTCTGTGATATGAAAATGCAAAGCCAGAGGTCATATGGTGATCTGAGTCTGTGCAACCATGCTAGGCAATAGAAATATGTGGGTACTGGAGGAGAAACAAAGTTTGAAATGTATGGAATCAGATACTATTCTTTAGAAAATTAGTCTAAAGAGACGTGCAAAATTACAAATGAAAGATTTGGTTCTCATTAATGCTACATAAACACTACATAATGGGGTATATAAAAATATCAACTCGCTATATGTATATATTTTTAAGATTTTATTTATTTATTCAAGAGAGAGAGAGCGTGATCGAGAAAAAGAGAGCGGGAGAAAGAGCATGAGCAGGGGGAGGGGTAGAAGGAGAAGCAGACTCCCCGCTAAGCAGGGAGCCTGATATGGGGCTCGATCCCAGGACCCCGGGATCATGACCCGACTGAGCCACCCAGGTGCCCCTCAACTTGCTATATATTCTTTTAATGAGAAAATCACATGAAATTGAAATTCCTGTGTTTCTTTTCTTCTTCTAAATAACAATTTGCTTTCATACCTTATGTTCATAATTTTTTGTTATTTTTCTTTAAGAAAGCTCCCAAAATATGGATATATCAATCCCCAGGAAACCTAGATTTATGCCTGCCACATACCTTAGTAACATGAAATCATTTGACATATGAATTGAGCAAGGACACTATTCCTATATTAAATATTAGTTAATCTTAACTTTTCAGTTTTTTAAATAAAAAAATATAAAAATATATGCTCTATTATCTTTCCATATCCCAATGAATATATGTACATTCTCCAGAAATAATTAGTTAAACCAATTGCTATGGCTAAATAAGAAAGACTTATTGCAACACCAGAGAAATGGGGCATTACACCCTTCACTGCCCCTCCTTGAATCAGTCAGTTCCACATTTTTTTGTTTGTTTGTTAAGTAAGTTCCATGCCCAACACGGGGCTTGAACCCACGACCCCAAGATCAAGAGTCGCATGTTCTGTGACTGAGCCAGCCAGGTGCCCCCGGTTCCACATTTCAAGCACTGCACTTCCTGTTACCAAATTCTGTTAGACTGTACCATATAAAAGTGCAGGTTTTATAGGTCATAAATTGTCTAACATTGGCATATCGTTGGCATTGCATATGTGGTCTTCACCCAGATATATCATTTGGAATGCATTCGGCTGCAAGTAAAAGAAGCAAAACTTGGGGCGCCTGGGTGGCTCAGTCGTTAAGTGTCTGCCTTGGGCTCAGGTCATGATCCCAGGGTCCTGGGATCGAGCCCCGCATCGGGCTCCCTGCTCAGCGGGAAGCCTGCTTCTCCCTCTCC